AGTAAATTACTGCATTCCTCATATCCAGGTATTATCTATGAGAACTTAGTGAAAAGTAAGAAGGGAAAAGTTTTGTATCTCTAACTAGTGAGCAACTGCTTTCTTTTCCTCTGCTAATAAATTACAGGGAGACTTGAACAGATGTCAGATTGGCATTCAAAACCTAAAATATAGCTGAAAAGCAAGTTATGACTAATACAAGGAAAAAAGATGAATGTCAGAAAGCTTCATTTTTTTTTTTCTTTTTCAAATTTCAGATAAGCTCTTTAGCCTTAGGGTTCCTTTTACAGAGCCATGGAGTTCGGCTGGATGTCTTAACCCCCATTTAAATTGCAATCTCTCCTCATGAGTGGGGGTGTGAAAATGCATTTTAAGAGTGTCAGTGTTTATGTTAATCTTAGCAAGAACTCCCTTTCTCCCAAATATGGCATGCACAAAACCTTAGTGCCCTTTCTTCTACTATGTTTTATTTGCACTGTTCTTAGCATGCGAAAGATGTCTGAGTGTGACTGAAAGGCTCCTTATCTTCATGGCAGTTCTATTTCATAGAGGCACTGCAGTTTCACTTATGATATCAGAAAAGAGTTGCTTTCCTGTTGAATTTCAAAAGAAACCTTAAAAATATAGATTGAAAATGGGCTTAGAGAGGGAGGCACGGGGAAAAGGGAACCAAGAAACACACAGCACCAGTTTCAAATATTGAGTGTGGAGGGAAAGACTGTAGTAAGGGCGTTTCCTCTCTTCTAGGTGGCCTGGACATCCACAGTCCACAAATATCCAAAGGACAGTCTGAGACCTCTGGTCTCTACCTCCTTTCCTTCTAGTTCTTCTACCAAAGCTTTTTTCCTTGAGTAGATATGAACCTATTTCCAAGACTACATTAAGACACTGCCCAGTATCAAGATTACGGGTGCCCGCCTGTAATCTCAGCATTTGGGAGGCGGAGGCAGGAGGAATTCCAGGCCAGCCTGGGCTACAAAGTGAGTGTAAGGCCAGCCTGGACTAAAGAGTGAGAACTTGCCTCAAAAAGAAAAAAAAAAAAAAAAAAAGACACTGACTAATTCTTTAACAATTATCTAGTATTCATTGAAAAAAAATTTTTTGCCCACAACATTTACAGTTTAGAGAGTTTTGCCAGGGATGCTGAAAAATGATGTTTCTTTGCAGAAACTCTTTGCCAAAAAAAGAGTTGCAATGAGAACTGAGGCACTTAATCATGTATTAATGTTTAGCATTCTCTATAAAGCTGCATGCAAGGACTAAGTGTGGTAGGATATATTCAGTTGATATAAAAAAATTTCAGAAACAGCAATCTGCAGCTGAACTTACTCACCTAAAATTCCAGATACCAACTTCTGATGTTTACATTTCTACACTAAAACCCATGCAGTGCTACTATCACCCCACAAAGTTAAGTATTTAAGGTAATTCCTAATTAAATATCTGTATCGTGGGGGCTAGATGATATTCTAACTAATATCTATTTGGTATACATTAAGTACAAGGTATAGACAGGTATGCTAAGGTTGTCACATACATCTGTGAAAGAACTCTTACTTAGTTTTGAGTGAGCTTAACTGTTATAGATGAGAAAAAAGTAAACAGACTGATTAAAACAGTAACAAAAATGTTTAAATTGATAGTCCCAAAATGTCTACATTGATATTTATTTTTCCTATTTCTACACATACCCTTTTCCCTTTGTCTATGTAGCTTTATGTGACTTCCCTTTTTCTTTAAGGACTTTCTTGATTTTAATTCTATAAAAACATAACAAAAACAGGATGGTATTATATACTGTATACCTGGAAGTATTTCAAGAGTGACACTAGGAGATGTAGCTCAGCAATGCAGCGCCTACCTAGCAAACATAAGGCCCTAAAAGTTTGATTCCTGGTACCAAAAAAGGGAAAAAAAGGGTGAGACTAACAAATTGGAAACTATGATAGTTATTTCACACATACTACCTCATTTGGTCCCTAATTTCACTGCATAGTTGTGTGTCTCTGTGTAGGTCATTTAGTTCTTTTAAATCTCATCAGCAATATTCTGTATGTATCTAACCTGTATCATCATCATCTTTCTTTCTACCTCCTCATCTTACCCTTTCTTCTCTCTCTCACTCTCTCTCTCCCTCTCTTTCTCCCTCTCTTTTTCCCTCTCCCTCTCTGTCTCAGCAGTATTAGGCAGTGAACCCAGGACCTACAGTGCTACATTTTTTTTTCTTTGAGAGGTGGTATCACTAAATCACTAAGTTGGCTGGGCTTGAACTTGTAATCCTCCTGCCTCACCCTCACAGAATGCTGGGATTATAGATGTGTGCTACCATACCCAGCTTATATTTTCAGTTTTGAAAAGGAAACATGAAGTTTTACAAGCAAAAGGAAAGAAATATATTACCTGGAAGCATAATTATCAGTTTCATAAGCACAGTCACAAAAGACAAAATTCAAAATATATCACTTTGTGAATTAGCAAATTGATACATACATATATATATAATTCATTTAGTTAAGAGTCCTATTTTCAAAGTAGATGTAAATCCAAACTCCATGGAAAAGACAATGATTTATTTTCAAAACAAAAAGAAAGCTTTCTACTTGAAATTAAAAAGTTCTATAACCTATATAAACTATTTTCTAATCTTTTTTAATTTGAATTGATTTGACTAATCACACCTAGTGTCTAAGCAAATCCCCAAATCACAATCTTATCTACCTAGTTAATAAAGAGTAAAAGAAAAGATCAGCCAATTTTGTTCCTACCTGGCAAGGTAAAAGAGTGTAGGGTATACATAAAAAATCTTTATAATTTTATTTACATTCTGGTTAAGTATAGCAATTTTTACTCATATATATCTTTACCAAGCCTAATGAGAACTTTGTAACACAATGTACTTGGAGTGCAATGGAATATTTTACTAATTCCCTCAATTCAAAGGAAAAAAGAAGCCTCTATTCGATAATGGGGACTAACACATGTATAGCAAGAAAATTATTTCTGTTGTTTAATCCTTAAAAAAAAGGTTTACTTTTTTTTTAAATACTCAGAAGGTTCACTGAAAATTTTAAAAATAATGTTTTTCAATTTGGTTCAAAAGCCAAAGTAGCTTTACACTAGCTGTCTTTTAAATTAAACTGATAACACATGCTTCTTGATAGCAAAAAGCCATAAAGAAAAAAAATAATTTTTTAAAAGGAAAAATCTCATTCTTTGACAAATTAAATTAGTGTAAACATATTAGAAAAAAATCCCTAAGAAAGGCTATGGATAGTAACATAAACAAAATCCAAACCCACAGTCCTTAGTCAAATTGTGCGAGTAACAACAACAAAAAGCATTACCACTATAATTTAAATACGGATGTCAGAAATGGATTAAAATTCACTAATAAAGTCCAAACCTATATTGATTTAATTTCAAACACTTTGACAGCTGGCAAAGTCACCAATGAATGACAGGAGTTTTACTTCTTATGCATTAACTACTTCAGACAGAGGCCCTCATGCACAGGAACTTGAAAATGTACAAACAGGAAACTAGTATCTAAATAACTAAATCCTCAGTAGATTCCAAACAGTGAGAAAATACCTACAGTTCAAAATAAAAATGGTGTGGCTTCCTATATAAGCCATTACTTCACTACTTGTTGGCTAGGCAGTATCAACATTCAAGGAATCAGCATCATTAACTCCTCCAGGTCTCAGGTCTGAAAACTAGTATTCTAAGAATAACTTAGAAAAGTTGGAATCATTCCTTTAATTCTGCTTTTACCCAAAATACACCTAATCAAAAACTTTACCAGAAAGTTTTAAGAATTTATTGTGCTTCAAAATACACATTATCAAGATAGTGAATGACAGTATCATGGTTTTTTTTTTAAAAAAAACTATTTCCCAAATTAGAATTCTGTGGTTTTGTGGACTTGGCCTTTGTATCTTTCAGGCAAAAAGTACGTCACTGTCATTTCAAGGTGTATGAAATTCAGGTGATGAGGGTCTCTGTCAGTTTCTCTTAATCCAATTCCAAACTCGACCTTTACCCAGGGAACAGGTGTGTGCCGTGCCTGCAAATTATCAGAATGAGTGACCAGGCAGAAAAGCTACCAACAATGGGAGGCTAATACCATCCAAGCACTTAATGCCTAGAAAGGAGTTCTTATCCCAACTGTGATGAATATACTTTTATCTCCCAGCAGCAATTTACAGAAAAAGAATGACGAGGGTGAGGGGAGTAATATATTTGTACTCCTTCAGTTTTTGGTATTCTTTTCTGGATCCTGTTTTTACACAAATAATCTGTTAGAAGTTGTTAGGTTATGAATTCCTTTCTCAAATATTCTGTTGCTCATATTCCAATTTAACATATAATATGGATATGAAGACAGTCATGAAAGCGTTTCTACTGGACAAATAGTGACTTCACACAGATAAATTAAATAAACCTTCAAGAAGAAAGTGATAAATGAATATGGCATTTCTTTGTATGCAATATAAAAACTCCCATGTATATCCTGCATCTTTTAAGATCAAATTTATTCAATTTAAAAACATGCCAGGAATTCATTTACTTGGTGTGAAGAGGAACTAATTGGGTAAGGCAATAATATAATAAAAAGAACATCTAATATTAGAAAAATGTCCACAGTCTAATAGATAATGACTACTGAGTCTAACAGATAATGACTATTTAGCAGGGTATATCTGACCTACAGTGGCGTTTAAAATCTGGTAAAATTTCTAAATCTGCCCTATAGAAAAACATTCTAAACTAAACAAATAAGATGGAACAAGCAAAAATACTGTTTGTAAGAACTTCTCCATAAAGTTAAATATTCTGAAACTTTTTCAGAAAACATATGGATTTTTTTAAAAAGCAGTTAGGACTGAAAAATACTTTTGGTAGATCTGAAAAATAATTTCAAAACTACTGAAAAGAGATTATCATTTAATTTTTTTTAACAATACACACTTTTATCAAATTTTCCTTTTTGAACTCACCCATCTGTTCCACAATCTCTGGAGGAAATACTCGGGAAGCAAATGCTCGTCGAAAAATATCTGAAAATTCTTTGTCCAGACCTCCTATTCCCATTTTTTCAAAGTTCCAATCAGGATTGATGATAGACTGGCGATTTTCCTTGGTTTTAGCTTTGCCTATAATCAAACATAATCAAATGTGAAAAGAGAACTTTGTCACAAAGTATAAAAAGACAGATGCTCTCTGGGCATCGTAAATGAATAGACATAAGCTACACTTATGCAAATAACACCAACATAATTTTAGGTGATTTTCTAATAATTAAGGCAAGTTTGCTTTATCTACTTTTTCTGGCCTCTCTCTTCAGTACCAAACTTTCAAAGTGACTAGCTAAACTTATGCTGTAGTCTATACTCTATTTATAATCAATTCATGGGATTTGATTTCATTAACCTTTAATTCAACTAAATCAACAACATGGTTGATTAGAAGAAACACCATATGCATATCTGATAGAAAAAAAAAAAAGCACTGGTTACCCGAAATACAACTAGAGTCCAGCAGTTTCCTAAAGCTCCTAAAGCAAGTGTATTTAAAATACATTCATCTCAATTATGTTTATAATCGGGTGTACAAACCCTTGTCTTGAATCAACTTGGTATTCTATTTGCTTTTTCTTTGTGGGTATACGAAGGTGTAAAATCATGGTAAAGACTTTAATTATAACAAAATTCATGTTTACAAGTCTCTCACAAGGGTAACAATTACCTAACTTAAATGTCAGAGTGCCACCTAAAGTAACTCAGGAGAACGACATTTACTATTTCAAACACAAAGAAAAGAGGTACCTTACATTTACTATAATAAAAAGTAAAAATACAGTTTTGATAAAGTCAGGGAAGAAAATATCACATTACAATAGTCTGGATGGTAATTTTATGTTTAGAGTTTTAAGGACTTAAGATTTACCTTAGGGAGTGATCAAAAATACTTTGTTTACACTCTATTGCCCTCCTGTGGTCAAATTTGCTGTATGGAAAATTACTACATGGTTTTGTTTTCCGATGGAAAATGCATCTGTGCACAGACTACTTGCTTTTTTTCTTTCTTGCATAGATTACTGGGAAACACTTACATTATATCAAAGTTATGTAATTCTCTTGGGATAAAATACCTTAAACTATGTACAAAAATAAGACACAAAGTAATCACTTTATAAATATACTGCATCACTAGTAAGACATTATGATACACCCAGCATATAAATGACTATACAGGCATTAAAAATAATATTGTAAGGGCCGGGTATGGTGGCGCACGCCTGTAATCCCAGCACTCAGGAGGCTGAGGCAGGAGGATCATTGCGAGTTCGAGACCAGCCTGGGCTACAAAGCGAGCTCAAGGCCAGCCTGAACTGCACAGTGAGACCCTGTCTCCAAAAGACAAAAAACAAAACAAACAAATAAACAACAAAAAAATATTGTAGCAGTGTACAATGTGTGACACATGTTAAAACAAGAAAGCAAATTATAAAACAGTATAAAGATAAAAATGTTTTTGAGAGAATGCCTGTCTAAATTTTATTATTAAGAAAATATAGGGCTGGGGATTTAGCTCAGCGGCAAAAGCGACTGCCTGGCAAGCGCAAGGACGTGAGTTCGGTTCCCGGTACCGGAGAAAAAGCCAAAAAAAAAAAAAAAAAAAAGAAAATATAGTAAGAGAGAATAGTAATTTATGAATCAAGAAAAATGGTCATATATTTAAAGAAAATTAAGTAACCTTGGACATGACAATGTACAGGAATGAAAGTCTTTTTTTATTGAGGCAGATATGCACACCATTAAATCTACCAAAACTAAGTATTACTATCCAGTTCATGGTACTATTATTTTGATGAGCTACATTCATGGAGACTAAACTGCATTATTGTAATATACTAAAAATAAGGCTAAAATACAAGAGGAAGGAAAAACCAAAAGAGATAAAGTACAAGAAGAGGACCGAACTATGACTCAGAAAGAGTTTAACTGTATATTCATCATCACTTGATCCCTGATAAAAGTGATAATAGTATCTCACTTAACACAACAACCAAGTAAAGGACACACTGTCACTAGCCAGTTGCCAAGGTCATGAAAGATAAAGACATTCTGAGGAATTCTCAGACTGGAAAAAACTAAGAACAACTAACTGCACTGTGGAAAACCCTAAATAAGATTCCAGAACAGAAAAATGACATAATGAAAACACTGGTGAAATCCAAACAAAGTCTGCAGTTAAGTTACCAGCTCTGAGAGCATGTTTAGTATTTTAGTTTTGAACACCTTTGCTTATGTAAGGTGTTCACATGCAGGGAAGCTGGTGAAGGGTATCCAGAAATTTTCTGAGCTATTTTTACAAGTCTGTAACCCTAAAAGAATCAAAAATTTAAAGTTAAAAAATTAACCTCACTGTTTCTTTTTAATTATTTTCGTGTGGCTATTAGGAAATTTAAAATTACAAATGTGTTTCGCATGCTGTTTCTACTGGCCAAAGCTGATCCAGGTGAAGGTTTTACACTTTTTCATCAGTACCTCTGACAAATATGAAATACCCCATGATTTGTGACAAGCCCTCTCAAGGGAAAGAGCCCTTCTTCTCTTCTTGTACTTGACAACCACTTTAACTGAGTCACAAAAACTGAAACTAAATCTTACCAATAAGATTGAGTGACGAATTTTCTGCTTTTTCAAATGCCACTTGACTGTTTCCAACAACCAGTCCTACTTCAATCTGTATAGAAAGATAATAATTAGCAGGCTAACAACAGGCTTCTGGGCTTTTCAAAGCAAGGCTAACAACAAAGGAGGAGTGAAGTCTCTGAGAAGTCAGTCTTCTAAACAATCATCTGAGCTGTTCACTCTTCTCATAACTACCTTCAACAATTCCTACATACTTTATTTAAATGTCTGGATCTTCTCAATGCTCCTCCATTCCAGAAGAATCACAAGTATCAACAAGTATATACAAATTTCAAATTACTTTAAGGTCTGCAAGTAAGTATATTTTAATAAAGGTTACTAAAAGCAATCTTTTCTTACTACCTTAAAAGAAAGAGACCACAATATGAAAAAAAATTACCACCAGAGTATAGTTAGAAAAATTAGTCTGTACAATTCGTATCATAAAGATTATCCCATAAAGGTAAGAAATAAAGCATACCTTCTGTCTTTTACCTGTCGCAGCCTCTCCTTTCAGGATGCTAGGATCCATGGCGTCAATATCCTTTACCAGTAAGCCAAAAAGCTTTTCATTGAAGGTGAACACAAGCTATGTAGGAGAAAAATTACTTCATGATATAAATGGATTGATTCTCACATTATCAGGTACATTTTCCAAATACACAAAATCAGTTTTCTCCTTTGTACCCTTCTTAGATCTGCTCCACAAGCACATTCACAGTGTCAATGACAGGAAAGGGAGTATCAAACACTACAGGAGCTTACAAAACTAATACAAATGCTTCTGGAAACAAGCTACAGTATTGCTCAGTTTCACTAGTGAGGAAGCTGAGATCCAGAAAGAGGCTAAGCAGGGCTCAGAGTTAGAGTAAACAATAGTGCCAGTGGTCAAGCCCAGGTCTATGACTCTAAAATCCATGCTTTTCTATAAACAGTATAAAATGCCTGCCACACAAGTGCATTCATTCACTCACCAAATACCTGTTGTATGCCTTCTAATCCAGTATGCTGGGGTATAGTAGTAATACCAATCCTGCCATTGCTGTTACAAATGAGAACAAACACCAAGAACAGCATTTGGGAAAAAGATACTTCTCTATATTCTGGAGTATTTTATTTCATGGATTTATTGACATATTCAATGTGATTGGGTTTGAAATTACTACAAATACCAAAGCATTTTTTTATTAAACATTCTTCAATGTATTTTCTATTAAAATACCAAAGGTGGAGACAAAGATGGAAACAATGAAGTTTAGCCAGACAGTCTAAGTGTAACAGTGCAGGACTTCGGAAGGAACACAGTGTAGCCAAATAGCAGTGGAGCAGTAGTCAACAAGTTATCAGCTGACAGGTATCTGGGGCAGCCTTCTCAAATCATCTGATATCAAACAGCACGGCAATGGCTCTCCAGGGCAGCATGGAGGTCTGCTTACGTCACAGTATTTGACAATACATACCATTTCTTATTTTCTGTCTTCCTCAACTAGAAAGCAAGCTCCATGAGAGTGGCTGGGACATACCTGATGCTATTAAATATGTGTTTAATTAATTCTTAGCTGTGTTCTTAGCTGTATAACCCTAGGCACATAATTCACTTTCATTCATTTGTAAATAAGTTAGATAAGATAATCTCTGAAGTTCATTCCAATTTTCGTATTTTCCTTAAGAATACACCATATTGTTTTCTTGTTTATCAGTGATTCAGTTTCTGTTTGCAAAAAATCGATCTACTAATGTTTGGACTACCTAGGTCGTTACTCTTATTCTTCCAGGTGTACATCAATTAGGAAAGAGTAAAGAAATAACTTTCCCTCCACTTCAACAGCTCTTGCCTTCCACTGCTGTTCTCACTGCTCAGCCAGATCAGGTTAGGTAAGCCAGCAGTGACCAGAATGCTGGACAGCAGTGATTCTCAAAACATTCTGGTTTCAGAATACTACTATACACTTCCAAAAATGTTTGAGGACCCCAAAGAGCTTTTGTTCATGTGGATCAGATCTATCAATATTCAAGATTAGAAATAAAGATGTAAATATACTGATTTAAAATTAATGATAATACATATTATGTATTAATGTTTTAATTTTTAAAATCCCATTTTCTAAAAAAAGTAAGTTAGAATAATGGGTTGGTAATGTTTTTACAACTCTCTCTTTTTTTTTTTTTTTGGTTTTTCTCCGATACCGGGAACCGAACTCACGACCTTGCCAGGCAGGCGCTTTTGCCGCTGAGCTAAATCCCCAGCCCCTTTACAACTCTCTTTAGGGTCTGGCTTAAGGTAAGCGAACTGGATCCTCACATCTGCTTCAGCATCAGTGTGCTACGCTAGCGCACATCACAGTCTCTGCAAAACTCCACTACCCACTTACGAAAGAATAAGAAGACGACAAATAATGCCTTGGTATTATCATGAAAATAGTTTTGATTTTAAAGAATCACTGAAAAAGCTTAGGGATACCCTGGGATCTCTGGACCACACTTTGAGAACTGATGCTGTGGAACCATGGTATGAAGGAGTCATCTGGAATGATTTAGAAAGTCACGAAGAAGGGGACAAATGTGATGGTAAGGTCAAAAAAAGCAAAGATTACTTATGTGTATAATTTATAAACTCACATTTTAAGTAAAAAAAAAATTTCTTCTTGGGAGGCTGAATATGTGGTATTATCTCAAGTCCAAAAAAAGAGGCAATACTGCAAATATTTTCAAAGAGAAAGTGTAGGCTTCAGAAGTTCCACATAAATCTCGAAAATGTATGTACATAGTTTTAAGATTCTCAAAAAGTATCAACCGAAGAAAGTTAAGTACTATTTTTCTACAGAAATTTAGTGAGACATAAAGACATCCCACGGACAAATATCCTACAATAAGAAATTTCACCTGTATGTCTACAGTGTTCCCAAATTTGCAGAGGGAAAAGCTACTCTAAGTATGTACGACATTTTAATCTAAAAGCTGCTTTAAAATTCTTATTAACAGATTTCAAGAGGTTCAGGAAACACAGCTCCCTTTTTATCACTCATCTTGGATATACCTGCTCATATGCAGAGCTCCTCTCAGTTCTTAAAAAGTGTAATTAATTTTGGACAATGTCCAGGATTAGAATACCTAGAAAGTGAAAGGAATGAAAGAAAATTTAAACCTACCTGCTGTCCCACTGAGAAGGCCTGGTTGTTGAACTGCTGAATAAATTCTGCTGCCATCTTGTCGGTATCGTAAGGATTGGAGTCAATGCTTTTTTTCTGCAGGAAATCAATCTCGATGGTCATTGTGCCAATACACTGTTTGGCTTTGTCAAATGTATATAAAGAGACTGGGAAGAAAAAAAGTGGTTTTGTTTTTGTTTTGTAAATCACAAGGACACCAAATACTTGCTGTGTTTCTAGTAATACAAGTTCAACAGAAATGAATCAACAATTCTCCACCAGAAGAGGGCTTCATATGGCCTTCAAGGGAGGAACAGAGGCACCAATTTTTAACATGATAATAACCACTAGAGACTTTATTCCTCTTCGGAATTAAGCAGAAAATATCAAACAACCTCTCCCTCATCTTTTACCGCTTGCCCACCTATGCAAAATCAAAGCCCTCCCCTTCTGGTCTATGCATCTTCCTCCTCCAAATTCAACAGCGGGAAAAGTGTCAGTACGGAAAGTCCTAGCACAGTTGACACTGCATGAATTACATCTTGGTTTCCAAAGATTTGTGTTAGACACAAGAAAGAGCTAAGAAGTAGGCAGTGAGAGTAGGCAGATCCTTTTGCTCTACAAAGGTAAAACGCAGGGGGCAGAAAGGTTGAGAGCCATGTTTACTAGGGAGAGTTGTTCTAGAGCACATTAGAATGTGGTATTTCTCTTTTAATACTATAAAAATATCAAGCTGGGCATCATGGCACATGCCTGTGATCCTGGCACTCAGGAAGCTGAGGCAAGAGGATCTCTGCAAGTTCTAGGCCAGCTTGGAAGACATAGTGAGTTTAAGGCCATCTTGAACTACATGGTGAGACCTTGTCTCAAAAAAAAATTATTAAACAGCTATTATATAGTCAGTTATATATGTAGATGATATACAATAGGGCAAGGGCCATGTTTTCAACTCACCTTTAATACAGCATTTAACTGTTTTTTTAGGTGCTTAATATACTCAAGAATTTCTTAAAGGAAACAGCAAAACCCCCATGATTGCAAAGCTAATACCAAAGGAGACAAGACAACCATAAACACAAAGCACTGGTTAAGAAAATTGCTATTCAAGCCACATGAAGACTTTTTATTCCTCTAATATCCCAAACGGCCTTTAGCTTCCCTAATGCTCAGAGTCTGCAAACCCCCCCCACACACACATTATGGGTTCATTCTCTATGTGCTACTTACACTTGTTATAGTAATTCTGCAGTAAGATTAAATAGTAATAAAAACTTTACAATTTTACATTCTTGAATTGATACTATAAAACTAAGTGCAACCAGGCATGGTGCACACCTGTAATGCCAGCAAGCACTCAGGAGGCTGAGGCAGGATAATTGCCACAGGTAGAGGCCAGCCTGGGCTACGTAGTCAGACACTGTCTCAAACAATCAATCAAACAAACAAACAAACCTTTTAAAAACTAATTGGGAAACGCTGGGGAAACACTTGGAAAATGAAAAACTTTCTATAAAACTAGGTGTAAGCACAAAAATTAGAAAAGATTAGGGGTGAAATTCATTAAAATCCCAAAGGATTCTGTACTCTCAAATGCCTCAAAAGAGTCTGAGTTCTCCATTCATTTCAAAGAAACCCATGTGAAAATTATGATTGTAGTTTATGTGCAAAAGACAGTATCAAACTCTAATCCATGGACCAAAACTCCAAGAAAAGGCTTTTAACCTCCTTTTGAAATAACTAACTTTCAGTCCCAGTCACAAAGAATAACAGAACTTCTACAGTTTTTATAAAAATAGATTAATAATCTGTTTTTAATAAATCTTTAATAAGTATTCTAATAACTATTTAATAAAATAAAGTATTTTTAAAATAAAATATTAAAGAAAAATATTTAATAAAATAAAACCTTTAATAAACCTTTAATAAAAAAGATTAGTTTTTTACATTCACTTTAGACAAGAGATACGGTACTTTTGTGAATTACTATGGTCAAATAGCAAGAAGCTAAACAAAAAAGTCACTGCAGTGTAGTTTTCAGTTCATCTGTGATTATTAAATGCCTGTTGCAAAAATTATAGTGCTTCACAAACAATGCTGCTCTCTTCAAAAATACTTTGACCTTGTGTGTTTCCAACGACCCTGCTAGAATGTTCGTCAGTCAGTCATTTTAGCTCTCTGTGCTGTCACTGGTCACACCTGCACACCGGGAGGAATGGACAGGTGATTCTGTATGGTCAGTTGTTCCTACTTTATACTATACATTCTGACCTGATTTCTTATATTCTAGCTATTTAAGGTATGTACAAGGATTTTCCATAAATTCTTTGAGTGAAATTGCTTATAAGCAGATTTTTATATTTATTATTTATATTTATTTATATTTTTATATTATTTATATTTAATATATTATTTTTATATTTTTTATATTTTATATTTATTTTTATATATTTATATTTTTGCTTGCCATCATTAAAGGAGGCAAATGTATTCTAAATATTTCAAAAGCAAAATAAAAAAGCAAAGTAAGCAAAAAATTTCAAAAACAAAATAAAAAAGCCCAAGTAAGGGGTGGAAAATGTATTAAAGGTCAAAGAATATGTTCAAGTCATAGCTGAAAGTTTCAGGTTACTCTCCTGCCTGCATTCTGGACATTTTATTCTTTCTTCACATTTCTTAAAAAGCATAGGTTCCATGCTAAGTCACTTTTACAGGCATAAGATAATAGGTATTTCTCCATATACTGAGTACTTATAGGTTGAAATATTAGTGGATTCAGCAATTTCACTTTCAAGTTACCTATCCCAGAAAGATTCTTAAACATTTGCCTAAAAAGAGACCATAGGGAGGTGCACTGCAGAATTACATACAATAGTCAAACAATAATGAATAAAATGTATTTAATTTCATTAAAATAAAATTTTGATATACATTTAACAAATACATATGGTTTGTGAAGACATAATATTGAATGAAAAAGTACATTTCGGCAATATTTGTACAGCATATCATTATGTGCACCAAAGACTCCAAAGCAATACTGTAATATAATGCACAAACGTGTGTACATATGTGCATATATGTATATATATATATCCATACTGAGGAATTAAAATATCATCTCTGACTGTAGTTTTCAAGTTCATTTTAAGATCATCGTTCCTAAATAGCAAAGACCAAGCTGTTACAATTTCCACACTATGGGCAGTACCATGGACAGTATCAAAAGCAGGACCATGGTCAGCACCATGGTCAGTCCCAAAGAGACAGTTCTTGAAGATTTCAACCAGTAGCAGAGGAGAAGGTGGAGAATGCTTTCTTATTTTATGGCTAACAGTAATTTAATGAATTACAGTCAATGTTTTGGATAAACTTAAACATTATAATAAAAGGTATGGAATAGCCAAAAAAATGTGTGAATTGAGTATCAGCCTATAAAGCATGGCACTGCCAGGTGGAGAGAATAATGATTCTTGATTCTTTCAGACTAAAAGCACTAATTTCTCACAGACAGAAATCCCATTCCCAAACCCTTGAACACTCCTCCTGCTAGCCACACCTCCTACCCATCTCATGTCTACTTACACTGAACCAGTTTTTGCCTTTATGGCCATGCCATCCTCCACACCAGTCACACCTTTCCTTGCCTCAAGCTTACTCCATCTACCTTAGTTCTACCTGACCACTTCTTTTAAATTTTGCCCATTAAAAATCTGTTAGATTTATCTCTATTACTATTCTAATACTGCTGTTCTTTTGATTTATCTCTCTAAAGATGTCTCTACAATCTAGAAACCCATTTCTGATAGCACAAGAGTGTTTTTATAACATAATTTAAGCCACAACCACATCACTTACCAAAATTTATAACCTTAAAAACCCGTAACTTTCAGAATATAAAGCTCTGTTAAAAGTTAATTTTCAGTACACTCTTATCCTTAAATTTAGACCAGTAAATTTAAGGCAATTAGAGACCTAAACTACACACAATCTCATCTTCTTATTAGATGTTTTAGTAGGTGTTAATTTTCATCTCGGCCAATGTCTACAAATACAGTACCCTGGCTACAAGCACTGACCTAATTCATTTTGGTGCTAAAGTTTTCCCCCTTTTCACTTCTTCACTATGCTTCAGGTGAGGAGGTGACAGTTAAGGAAATCACTTATGTCAACATTTCTCAAACTGTGGCTGATAAGAGACATTTAAGAGTGCCTGCTAAAAACACATATATGAATCAGATTCCCCAATGGAGGAGCCTGTCAATCTTTTAAAATAAACTCCCTTGGTAAGTCTTTCAAGCAACTGTAGAGAGTGCTAAGTATGTATCCCTCTCCATCAACCACCCATACCTAAAGTAACCGCCTTTGTTTCTATTTTCAAAGTTCTTTATCCCAATTTATTTTTTTTAAGGTTTTTTTTTTTTTGGTTTTTCTCCGGTACCAGGAACCGAACTCACAACCTTGCGCTTGCCAGGCAAGTGCTTTTGCCGCTGAGCTAAATCCCCAGCCCTCCCAATTTAATTTTCACAGGCAAAAAAGGAAAAGCCAACTAAAAATAACCTCAAGTTTAAGTTCCCTCTAACTCAGAAAAATTCGTTGCTACATTTGTAAATGAGAAGTAAAATGTTCTCTCCTGCCATTTTGCCACATTTTCTTATCTATCTGTCTTCTTTTAGTCAGTTTAAAGCTATTATACCTTTGAATATATATTCAAGAGCAATGAGACCTGAGTATAATGGTCAACATAATCTGAGTATCCCCTAAAGCTCCACAGAAAGAACAAGAAGACAATACCACATATATCCGACACCTTGAGCATTACTAAAATACAGAGAATACCACAAACTCAAACTACTCAAAAAATGAGCAACAAGCACCAAAACTGCACAGAGCTCCCACTGTGGAATGCAGACAGGGTAGACAGAAGTGAAAACGACATAAACAAAATCACCTCCACAAAGGGAAATGCCAGCACTGAATACCAAAATACTATGCAGTGATTTGGGACTTACAGGTCTACAGCTACAGGTACAAAGAAATGACTTGAAAGTAAGTAGGACTAGAAGCAGTAGCATCAAAGACTCATTGGTAGCCAGTTAGACAAAAAAAGGATTGTGTCCTGAGTGATGTAGCATTAAGGAAAAGAAGGCAGTTAGGAAAATTAAGGATC